AATACATATTATTAATAACAGTGATGAGATCATATAATTGTGAATGTATATATGAAATTGATAAAATAAAAAATTAATAATGATAAAAAATGTAGAAATTGTGCTAGGACTGCTGTAGAAATTTAGAGAGTTGGACTTGAATAGTAATTGATTTTCAGTGGTTATATATTGCTCAATAATGTGCAATCTTGGGTAATTTACATACACAGGAATCTTCCATTAATACATTCAGTGATTATATTGATCATTGATTTATGTTTAATTTATTGGAAAATGAACTTGAAATCAACACAAATCATGAAATGAACATACAGAATAGGACATTAAGAATACATCTGGAAATTATTTTAATTATTACATAAATTATTTCCAGGATAATACATGTAATGATATTTTATGTAATAAACCATGTCCATACCCCTTGTTATTTTTATTGATGCATTTTATTATTTAGTTTTCTACATTTACAGTTGTTTCTTCTTCATGGAAAAATATACTGATTTCTTTGAACAGTGTATTTTACTATTATTACAGAAAAGAAAGGTAGGTTATATAAATATTGCTTAAAAAATAAACAATTCTTTTCTCATATATTGCAATGAACATAAACAAAATTCTGGAGCAAGTATCTATGTACGAATGAATAATCTTTTCCATGGAAGAAATGTGTCTCTCTTAAACTTTAAAGAAATCAAGAATTTAAGTCAGCTTTTATACAAAACTTCTGTTAGCTATGCTGTTTTACCCCAGCAAAGAGTAAATTAAGAAAGCAAATATTTGTTTACATCAAATCCTCATTTTCACTTTAAAAAAAAAAACTTTTGCTGATTGGCTATTTTAAAGCTGGATTCAAATTAGTTTTTTATATATATATATGAGTGGATGGATTTAATTGCTCTTGTGTGGGTGATTCTTCTTCGTAACTCCCTTTCAGTATTTCAGACCATGTATATTTCTAATTAATGCATAAAGACACATCAGGATCCATTTCTTTTCCCTTCTTCCTTTCCCCCTGTAGTTGTCCCTTGCTTTCCAAAGCTTAGGTCACCTGGGACAACTTTTGAGGATGTAACAAAAGCTATTCTGAGGGGAATTCTCCCCATTCCAGTCCCACCAGGAGCAAATACACATTAAAGGACACAGATGGTTGCTTTCACCTGCATAATTTAATAGGCCACGGAACTGTGACAGAGTGGGCAGAAGTTATAGTTGCTGATTTCTTGAGCTTGGACACAATGCTTGCATTTATTGCACATCCAAAACTGATATTCTGTGATGGGCCTTCCTGTAGCAACACATGTTGGAAGCTTTCCTTCTCCCCTATAAAACACAAGGAAGAAAAACAGTATCACAAGATGTCAACGTTGATAGAACTATATTAGCCATCCATTCAAATTTAAGATTACAAGGGTGGATTACAAATATTTTGTTAGTATGCAGCAGATAAAAGTAAAAGGTGAAGGTTCCTCTCGCACATATCTGCTAGTCATTCCCAACTCTAGGGGGCAGTGCTTATCTCTGTTTCAAAGCCGAAGAGCCAGTGCTGTCCAAAGACATTCTCCGTGGTCATGTGGCCAGCATGACTAAACACCGAAGGTGCACGGAACCCTGTTACCTTCCCACCAAAGATGGTCCCTATTTTTTTACTTGCATTTTTACATGCTTTCG